ATGTATTTTATTGTTTATTAGAGAACAACAATGATAAATTAAGTTAATTATTATTATAAATAATTAAGTTAATTTGTGATTGTTGTTGTATGTATTATCGAATAAAAATTTTTGAACAAATAATTAAATTGCAGAATATTTAGTATATTCAATTAATTATTTCTTCAAACTTAATTAATAATATTATGTTTAACAAAACAAAATAGTGATTTTACTTATAAGTATATTTATATATTTATATATATATATATTTATATTTATATATATATATTTATATTTATATTTATATTATGTCTGTTCAATAACAAAAAAAAAACTATATTAAGCAGTATCAAAGCAATACTAAATATGAAAAAGGTTTTTGTTATTGAACAGATTTAATATTGTCAAAAATAAATATAGCAAATTATATTAAAAAAAAAATTATAAGTTTTAAAGAATTATATAAACTATATGTATAATAATATGTAATAATAAATACTGATATAATTTAATAAGGATTAATTAAGAAAACTTCCTATTTCTAAGATTAACGCTTGTATTTATAAAAAAATCTTATTTTGCTTTTAATGCACTCAATAGTTAAAGCACACTTTAGCCTTAAAAACCAATTATAAAATTGTGATATTCATAAACAAATAATAAACGTATATTAACTATTGTGCTGATTTATGTTTAAGTTGGCAGCACTGTACAATATGGCTGTCATTTTATGTGTTAGTGTTGCGTACAATTAGGATAAAATATTCGTTGATTCGGTTTTCTTAATTTCATATTTTTGTTTATAATAGATTTTTGACAATAAAAACAAACTTTTAAGAAAAATAAATATATATATGGCTTTAATAAATGTCTATTTAGTTCAGATGTATAAATATAACATATAATTTCTAATTATTATTAAAAGTATCCGAATAACGGATATTTTGCGACAATATATACATCACTATGACACATTTTCTTATTTTTACTTATTTTCCTTGTAATTTTTGATAAATTTTTGCAAAGGCGCAATTTACATGAAGACTTTTCAGACGTCTGTTTTTTCCAATTCTCTTTTGAGAATCTTCCAAAAATCATGAACATTTATACGGTGATTTTTTACATGCAACTATGCATGTCTTTTTTTGATGTTTAATTGTATAATCCTTTTTAATTACTATTCGTAATAAAAATAAAATGAAATTTTTAACATAAAAACCATTTAATTTTTATTTAAAAAAATTTAATTACGCGCTATAGTATTTTTTTAATGCAAATTTTAATGTTTTCATGTAAAAAAGACATAATTATTTTTTTACATGAGCATAATATCAACAGTACGAATGAGTTTAAAGAGGAATGTCAAAAACAATCATGAAAATCCCAAATCATGTTTGTTTTCTTACCCCCCATTCTTCTCTACCCCGCTCACCACCAATCATCGACAAACATGAAAAGAGACGTCTGGGCAAACATGAAAAAAAATCATCGTGTAAATTGGGTGAAATATTGATAAATTTCTTTGATATTTGACTAATTTTAATGCCGGCGAATATATTTTGCATTAGTATAACACTAATCAATATAATTTACATGGTTAATTACTTTATGGCATTATATTTAACCAACAAACTTTGAAAAAGCCAAATCAAATGATTTTGTCCATCATTTGGTTGACAGACGGGCACTTCCAAATTGCCTAAAAATAGTGCTGGACAATTGGAATATTGTCAAATATTCATGCATTAATCCAATAATGCCTAGATTTGAGTTTTTTCTTCAAAATATAATCGTTTAAAAATTTTCTGGGATTTTATTTACAAATTTGTAAACGTTAAAATTAGAATTTTTAGATTTTATTTTAAAAGAAACCATAATTAGTTTTCGCAATCAACCTAAAATTACCGGAAAAATCTTTATCTGAGAAAAAAATTGTTAAAAATCAACTTATTGTTGGCTTAAAGGGTCGAGCCTACAATAAAATTCTTCTAATTGTCAATGGTTTATTGAAGGTGTTTTAAGCTATTTCACGTTTATAAATACGATTTTCCTGAATTTTGCCTAAAATTGTTTAATAAACCTAAATAAGTTTTTATAAATACAGCCGTAAATATATAATTAAGTAATTTAGATTTTAAATAGGTTTTACATATACACATACACACATAACATAGAACATTGAGGTTAGGATTTTATCGAACTCGGTTTCCTTTATGCTGAAGGTGACCTTGTGTGCAAACAATGACCTTCGAAAGGTCGTATGGGTCCTGAAATATCTAGATCTTGTTGGCTTACCCTGGAAGTTCTATTTTTGTCCGACAAATTTCGTCCCACAGTTTAAATTTACTTGAACTCGTTTGGGACTACCCTGTTAATACCTTGGTTGATGTCCGAACTTCGATAATGGAGTTATTTTTCCCTTTTCACACTCCTATGGTGAGCTTTGATTTCTACGATATTCAGTGGCCCTCTACCGTTTTATTTTAAAAAGAATATCTTTTCGGGATTATGGCCTGGCTACAGTTTTTGAGCCTCGCTATGTCTTCCACAGATGGCGTGAATTATATTTCCTTTGTTGATTTTGAATTTATAATCGATCATAAAAATTACTATTGTAATACACTTTGTGTTGTTAGTTTTAAATATCTGATAATTTACACAAACTTTTGTCACTACTACCACTGTTTGGTACTTTACACTGTGGAATTCAATTGATCTTTGCTCGATTATGAACTCATAACTCCTCATAACACCGTTTAACCTATCATACGATCATCGGCATCATGGCTACCAATATCCGATCGTTAATAAATCAATACATTTTGTTGCTATTGATTGGTATGTCAAGGTCACAGTAAGGTTGAAGTCGTCCGTCTTTATTAGTATCCCTTCACTGTAGTGTTATTGTGAATGAAATTCAAGCCCAGGACATAACCGCCCTCTATATGTCATGATCTTCACGACATATGACGTTTGTTTTTGTCCTAAACTGGTGACAAGTGCAAACCAAAAAAAATTGATAAGTAAATAAGGAACCAAAACAAAACAAGTAACCAACATTCATCTCCTAACATTCTGACATGCAATTTCAAATTTTAATTGTGAAAATAAAATAAAGTGAAATAAGTTAAATAAAATTATTATAAATAGTACTTTTTTGTAATAAAAGTGGCCAATGCGGTGTACTCTCCATGAATGAATGGATGGAGTATGGAGAACCGTTCCCTTCCTAGTTTTGGCATGATGCAGAAATAACAAACTAAGGGTACTGTTCCTGACAATTTGTTGCTCCTCAAAATGAGGTGACCGTCACAAAGCCAGTATTTATTGCAGAACCTGTGTAGCAATAAAAACTGGGAACTACGAAGCCGGGCACCTGGCAAAAACTTCGGTAAGTCTGGGTGTTACTACCACATTAAGGCTGGTCTTATTCAAGGTAAGTTTGTATATAGAAATTTTATCAATGTTTATAATCCACTATGAATTGTATTCTATCTATTCACTCAGATACTATCCATTGAACCGATCTAGGAAGTTATCAAATCTACACATCCCCCTTATCTAACAGGCATTCAATTTTATACTGTATCGTGTTGGTGTTAAATAAACATTTTCTATCTTTCTTTCCTTTATCAGATCTATTAACAAATTTCCTATTTTCCAGATAAAACTTCAAATGTTGTGAACTGTAATACATCTGTATCCTGTACACGATTAGAAATGTTCCGTGCTATCACCTTGGTCTCTTAATGTGTTCCGGATTTATACAAAAAAGGAGATTCATACAAGCAGATTCAAGATTGTGTGAGTAAAAGTTTCCTTTCTCGTTTCCTGTTCTGATTAGTCCTTAGAATATGGTTGTTTTAAGTTCATATCAAAAGGGAAATAATCTCCTATCAAAATTCAACTAAATTCGAGTATTTTTCCCTCAATATCAAGTTTCACTAGGATTATGTCTCATTATCGCTTTAGTTATAAACTAATTTATACAAATTTAAATCTAAAAGGAAGGATTTAAGGCATTTTCATGTTACATATTACCTCTATAACCTAGTTATTTACTTATAATCTTGTTGTCTGTTGTTATCTTAGTTTTATGTCCAAATCTTTTTCTCTTGTTTACTACTGCTTAAGGTGTTGTGCATGTATAATTCCGATCAATTGACCGTTCAAGTTTTCTACCTCGTATTGATTAGATCCTAATTTTCTTCTAATCCTACACTTTAACCAGGGTTTACAAAGTTTTGCATTTATACCTTTTGCAAAATTGCTTTGTATGAAGTTCTTTCTATAAACTTCTTGTCCTTCTCTATAAGTTACGATCTTGCTCCTCTTGTTATAATACCTTGCGTTTCTCTCATACGCTTTATGAACATTTTCACTAATTTTGTTGTGTAGATTCTGCATAATTTCTGCTTTAGGAAGTATTGTTGTTTCTCCATCTTCTAAGGCGTTCAATTTTCTTAAGATTTCATAAGCATCCGCATGCGTAATCATGTTGTAGCCGGTGAGAGCAAAGTACGGCGTTACCCCAGTTGACGCGTGTATGGTAGATCTTAGTGATTGTTCTATTTTACTAATATTCTCGTCCCATTTCGACTGATCGTTTTGGAGGAAACTTCTTATGCCGCTTATTATCGTCTGGTTAACTCTCTCACTCGCGTTTGCCTGTGGAGAATGTATTGGTGTTCTTATATGATTTATGCCGAAGGTAGATAGAAGATCTTTGAATGCTCCAGATACAAATTGTTTTCCATTGTCGGAATGGATTTGTTCAGGCACGCCAAACTTGTGAAAGATTTCGTCAACTAAGAATTTGTTGACTGCTTTTGTGGTAGCCTTAGACATTGCTTTAAGAAGTACGAATTTGGTTTTATGATCCAGCACTATAAATATGAATGTGTTTCCAGATCTACTTCTTGGGTATGGTCCAAGGAAATCGATGTACAGTTTCTGGAAGGGTCTGTGTGTTACTACTTCCTTTCCCATTGTAGGTCGCAAAATTTGCTTTGGGTGCTTTATTTCCTTACACAATCGCAGAATCTCACATAATTTTTAGTGTCTTTAACCATTGTTGGCCAATAGAACAGTTCGCGTAGTTTATGTAAAGTTTTGGCTACACCACCGTGTACTGTGTTATCCATATGACATTTACCTAGGACCTTGGATATAGCAGGATTTGGTAACCATACTTTCCATGAGGTTTCACTTCCGCTTTCCCTATCAAACTTAACTTTTTTATAAACCTTGTTGTCCTTAACTTGTATGTCTGGTAACCGTTCGCTATTGTCTATCACCGTCTGAATTAACGTTAAGTATGCTGAGTCTTTGAAATCGTCTGAATCTAAATCAATCAATCTGTCTTCATTACATGTTACTTCTTCAATATCTAATCTAGATAGCATGTCAGGTACTACATTCTTATTGCCTTTTCTATGCTCAATATCGAATCTAAATCCTTGTAATTTCAAGCTCCATCGAGCCATCTTCCGTTCAGATCTTTTTGCTTCATCAACCACTTCAAACTTGAATGGTCAGTTATCACGGTGAAGTCCATTAGCTCAATGTACTGCCTAAACTTTTCAATCGCCAACACAACAGCCAAGCACTCCTTTTCCGTTGTGGAGTAATTCTTCTGAGCAGTATTCAACTTTTTGGAAAAGTATTCAACCGGATGTTCACCTCCATCATCGTCTTTTTGAAAAAGTACAGCACCGACTCCTACATTTGATGCATCACATTGCACGTAAAAATGCTTATCGAAATCAGGGCTGGAGAGAATGGGACTGGAAACTAAACGTTTTTTTAACTCTTCGAAAGATTTTAAAGCCTCTGGTGTTAGTGTGAATTTGGTAGTTTTCTTTAAGGTGTCAGTTAAGGGTGCTGTTAAAGTTGAAAAGTCGCTTACGAATCTTCGATACCACCCTACCGTTCCTAAGAATCGACGTACTTCCTTGGCGTTTTTAGGTGGATTCATGTTTACTATTGCCTCTACTTTATTTTGGTCTGGTTTCAGTTTTCCTCCTCCGACAATGTATCCAAGGTATTTGAGTTCTTTGTAGCAGAACTTGGATTTTTCCATATTGATGGTTAGACCTGCGGCTGTTAGTTTCTGGCCTACTACTTTTAACATCTCCATATGTTCAGTGAAGTTGGATGAGACTATTAGGAGATCGTCCAAATACACAAATATCCTGTCCTTCAGCTCTGATGGAATGACCTTGTCCATCAGGCGACAGAGTGAATTGGTAATGTGGCCTTCCCTGGACAGTAAATGCGGTCTTCGCTCGGCTAGATTCCTCTAGAGGGATCTGCCAAAAGGCATCCTTCAGATCGATGGCAGATATGAAATGCGTGTCTCCAAGTCTCGCGAGCAATCCATCTATATTTGGGAGAGGATAAGCATCCCTCTTTGTGACTTTGTTTAGCTCCCGTGCGTTTAGGCATAATCGATTTTTGTTAGGCTTTATAACCAGTGTTGTCCTGCTGTTCCATTCTGCTTCCTTGGCTATTTCGATCACGTCCAATTCCAGCATCCTGTCGAGCTCCGCGTAAGTCAGTTTTTGTACTGCTGGACTCACTGGATAGTACCTCATCTTCTTGGGCTGAGCATCACCGGTGTCTATACTATGTTTTTCCAGATTTGTCCTACCTAAACCATATTTTGTATAACACCGAAAACTCTGTTTTACATATTCCAATGTTCTTAGTTCCTGTTTTGATAATGTGTGAATATTGTTGTTGTTGGATGTATCTGTCCCTATTTCTTCAACTATAAGTCGAGCAGGATTGATGTTGATCCCTATACTTTGCCAAAAGTCATATCCAAGTATCAGTTCTTGTTTTAAGTTAGGTATCAGGTATAGTACAACATCCTTGTTTTTGGATCCAAACTTCAAGTTAACATGTATCTTGCCGATTATTTGATGACCTGAACCATCTGCAGTTTTTATGTTAGATTTGTAGTCAATGATCTGACAATTCATTTTCTTAACGTTTTGCATACAATTATGACCTAGGCAACTTATTGAAGCTCCACTATCCATCAGTCCTTTAAGGTGTAAACCATTGACCAGTACATCCATGTAAGGTCTGTTATCGAAATCAGCTTCTATCGAGGTTGTAGCTATTTCTTTTCTCTCGGCTTTTCTCTTCTTGTATCTTTCGCGTATTTTATGGTTCTCTCATTTGGACTTGATTGAACATCGTTAAAGATTCTCTCACGTACTTTAAGGTAGTTTTCGAGACGTTGTTCGTATGTTTGAAATGATTTTGTTGTCATGTCGAGTCTTTTAGTTTTGTTGTCCGCTGTCGTAGTTGAAGTTTTGACTGGTCTTGATACGAACATGTCAAACCAGTCCTCGCCATGCTCGTTTATTTGTTTCCCGAACACTTCGGGCATTTGGGCGTGATGACATTTGCGAACCCACATTTGTAACAAAACAGGTTTCGTTGTTCTGAACTGCACTCTATGAACGAATGTCCCGGAACCTTGCAGTTCCAACAAATGAGCTGCCTAGCTGGTTGTTTATCTATTTTAAAAGCTTCTATGTTGAAATCCACATCATTGTGTATCTCGGTGCTTTCAATCTCATTTACTCTCCGAACGGCATACTGTCTGTGACTATTTCTCTTTACTAGATTCCGTTCAGCACGTCGGCATTCATCCAAGAGTTGGTCAAAATTACGGATGTAAATAGGATATATTAACTGGTATATTCCATCCTTTAAATTATCCTTCACAATTCTGACCAGTTCTTCCTCTCTCACTTCACGGCTGAGTTGATTCTTGAGAGCAATTATTTCGCCAATGAAGGTCTCTGATGGCTCTGAGGGATGTTGCCTACGCTCCATTATACATCTTTGGATCTCGGAATCGCTGTCAAATCTACGAAACTTTCGTATCAGGTTGTATTTTAACTGTGGCCATTCGCAATAAGGGTTTTCGCGGCGGAAAGTCCAAAACCACTCATAAGCATTGCCGGTCAGGAGATGATGAAAACCTTTCATTACCGTTGCCATCGGACAGTTATAATCAACTTGTAACGACTCGACTCTAAACACGAAGTCTTCTACCGTGAATGATTTTCTGCTACCATCAAATTTGATTCCCCATTTCTCCAGTTCTAACGGCGCGTTTACTCTAGACTGGGGGTTTAGATTAGGAGTTGGTGGATGTTGTATTTGCGGTTGTTGTTGTTGGTTTTCTGTTGTTTCTGCAGGTCTTTGCTGTGTGGAATTTGCGTAATTTTGCTGAGGTGGTTGTCCTTGTGTATTGTTGAATGTCTCCATGGAGATATTCCTATCCGCTCTCATCACTTCTTGGACGATTCTAGGTACCAATTGCTGCAGGGTTTCGGAGATCTGCTTCATGACTTCAGCTTGAGATGCTCCTACAGACGCGCTTACATAGTCCCTAAGAGTTAAGCCGTCGTTGTTAACAATAGTATCGTTTTCCACTTGTTGGTTTAACCTCAGATTTGATTGGCATTATACTCCTGCCGTATACCCAGGGCTGCATTGCTGCTGAATTGTGGCGAGACTATGGTGTTGTCGGTCTCGGGAGATGATGTTGCCTGTTGTGTTGTGGCTGGTTGTGGGAATCTAATCTGTGTGTTTACCGGTAGTTGTGGAAAAGTCAGGGGACAATAACGATGGTATTACGTTTGTTGTAGTCGTAGTAGTAGTCGGAGTTGTTGTTGTCGGTGCAGGTCTGTTCGGTGCAGGTCTGTTCTGTGGAGGATTTGTCTGTTTTGGATTGTTTTTAGATCTCAATACACTTTCCTGATCCATTATTGTTGAAATGAGAAAATAAAACTATTGTAAAGACGAGAGGAATGAGGATTTCTACAAAATGACTTATTTAACCGTCCTATTAGGGAATATAAACCTATCTAAAGTTTTTCGTTTAATGGAATAAAGCTAAATTAACAAAAAAAAAAACTAATATAGATCTTCTCCTGAGGGAAAAATGCTAAACAAAACAAAAGACTCAAGACACAAGCGTGAATCAAAACAAATGAATTTAGAAAACAAAAAAATACTATAAAGAAGGATGAATTGAAATGGATTAAAAGTTAAAGAAAATAAATAATTATGAAATAAAAAAATATATATATATGAGACAGATATTAACAAAAAAAAAGGATTTCCTATTAACAAATATTTTGTGTTGATATTTGTTCGGTAAATTGAATTAGGTTTAGTAGTTTGTTTTTCTTTTACTTCACATAACGAAACAATACTTTAACATTAAACAATATACAAATTTACAATACAAACGTTTTATTTTGTTAGTTTTTTATAAATTTTTGGTTGTGTTATTTTTCTGTTCTAGTTTTGAGCAAAGTAAATTGCTGTTAGTTAATTAATATTAACTTTTTTATTCTTTCAGATATTGGCTGGTGTGAATCATCGAGTATGGCTGGTGGTTTATTGTTGATTGTTGATCATGATGATGTTCTCATTACAAATTTTAAACATTTTACATTATTTTCCTCAAAATCAAGAAAATGTTCTCTATTCGAAAAACATCAAAAATCTTGAAATGATTTTCATTAAGAAAATCAAATAAAATTTTACCCACGTTAGAATGAAGAAAATTGTTGTTTTCCTTCCGTAGTTAGATTGTATGCTACTGTCAAAAATGCGGACGAAATGTATATACTGGACAATACTACTATAAATTATAAAAACCTTATCGCAACGAGTCTGTTAAAGTCGCTAATAAGCTCGAGACTTTATAGTCGTTTGGCTTATGACTTATTTTATTTCAGAAAACATTTTGATTTGAATATTTATAATTGAAAAAAAAATATAAAAAAAAGGATTTTGAACCAATCAAATTTACTCGCCGTGTGTTCGTTAGAGTCGCGAATAAACTTAAGACGTTTTAGTCATGACGGTTTATGACTTACTTTAACGAAACATTTTGATTCAAACTGATTGGTCCTTCAATACTGCAATGGTTACAAAACAAACGCCGCGACACAGGCATGGTATGTTGTTTTTAAAACTCCTTCCGGGACATGCGTTTCTTGTATAACCAGTACCGTATTGAATGTTGTATGGCATTTTGAAAAATGCCACACACGTTGGGCGCCATAATTGTGACATACCTTTGTCTGAGAGTGGAACTGGCACGCTGGTGGTTGCACGACGCTAGCTCGTCGGATTGGGGTCGGTTCTTTCTTCAGTTTGTCGACAATTAAATTTCGTGCCATGTTAGAAAGTTTCCCAAAGAATCCTAACAGCTAACATTAAACACAATCACTAAGAAATGGTATACCTCTAAGCTGGACGGACGGACGTTTTTTGAAAGTAGCTGTGGGTTTGTTTGGTGGTCAGTTGATCAGGAATCAGTGAAGGCATTGTTGATGATACCTTCTCGGGTTGCCCTCCCCTT